ACCTCCTTTCCCGCCACAATCAACTTCCAGACATTCTCGATATCATCGTTTTAAATAATGTTACTTTTTCCGCCGATGCCACCGTTCTCGACGCTAAGCTCCGACCACCTTCTGGTCCTAATAGAAGTCGGCTTCCTAACCCTCAACACCCCAAACCCACCAACTTCGCTAGACTGAGTACGTTTCCGCTACACTCTCGAAACATTCTGCTTCAATTCGCACAATAGCGAGAAGTTGTCAATCTCTTTCAAACGAGATATGTAACACATCCCAAAAGCACTTGGAAAATGACCCACTCTTTTCGCACCCGCACTCTTCGCTGTTACAATGAAACGGCTCCATATTCACTTCATATGAGGAAGAAAATGCAATTTTCACGAGCGAACCAACGCCGCCTCCCAAAACTTTGCCGCTACTTTTTCCGACTTTAAACACACGTTCCCTGTGAAATCTTCCTTTCCATCCGATCTCTGAAAAAGAAAAAAGCCCCTGACGCGGACAGAATTCCCAACGGTGTCCTAAAAGTCCTGCTAGTCTCTGAAACATCACAAACGTTATCATGCGACTCCACCACTTCCCTTTGGTCTGGAGAGAAGCCATTGCCATCCGTCTTACAAAAAAAGAAAGCCCTCTCAGCTCTCCTTCAAGCTACAGGCCCATCAACCTGCTCAGTTCGCTGAGAAAAGTAGTTGAACCCATCTGATTCGGCTGCTTGACCGTGTGGAACGAAATAACCTTCTGCCTGACTTTTAACACGATTTCAGCAGTCAACACGGCATCTGCCATCAACTTCTGCGAAATAAGATGAGTCAAGAAGCGATGCAGTGAGCGATTTAGCAGTGAGTGGGTAGTTGATTAACTGATTAATAGTAATGGTGTTAATTAAAGATTAATTGGAAAAATAAAGTGGTTATAAACGTAAAACATTATTATTAAACGAAATTAGGTGTTAGGAGTAGAATTGAATAGATGGAACTAGGAGGTTTTGGTGAACTCCACCAAACATTCCAGAAAGTTATTTTAACGAACTTGAGAAGGTCGCCGAATTAATGAGCATCACCAAAACAAGGATTACGACCACATCCATTGTCTAATGGGATGGTTGGGCTGGGATCGACATGTGATGGTTTAATTTTCACAAGTGTAATACGTACATAAATATCTATTCAAAACAACAGCATGTATGTAAGCAGTGTAATAAGGCATGTTTGGAACTTTCATGCGGTTTGCATCACATTCATCGACCTAGAAGGATATTATAGTCTTATGAAATTGTAATGTCCTACTGTGTTATTTTCTTCTATTCACTCAGCTTTCTGCGAAAGCTGGGGTTTATTAGTTTATGAGTCTTGAAAAAGAAGTATGTTAGAAGCAAGGATTCGCGGCACAAAAGAGCGATTTGATAGCGATAAGATAAAAATTGTTAATTTAACAAAAGCAAGTGAGAATATATTATTTGAAAATATAAAACTCAGCTAGGTTTTTTCGAATAAATTGAATTTAATAGAATTAGTCAGCCAGGGAAGTAGCATCATAAAATTCCGCATTCATTTCTTATTTTTAATTATTAACATTACACGAAGTTTACTCTTTGTTATTTGCTGGTGTTTTTCTGTTCTTAAAATATTTTATTTAATGATTATAATAATATGTGTGGTTTATACGTTCAGAATTGTTTTTAACTTCATGAAAACTATTTATAACGACACTTTATTACAATTGGTTTTATTTCTATCAGTCGGAAATATGCAGCCATTTTTATGATGAATCAGATATTTCTTACTATAGCACACGCTGTTAACATGCAGTTGAGGTAAGTGTACTGAAAATTTTGAATTTTCTATACATTCACGTCATACAGTGGGTGCTTTATAATGTCAGCAAAGCAATGTCTTTTCCAGATAGTGTATTGTGATGCTATAAATTGAGAAAGTGACAGTTTCTAATACCCATTAACTCTAACAGAAAATGTGGATACCATTATCAAATTTACCGTCTTATAATAAATCAAATGCTTAATTTTCATTAACAAAAACGCAAAAGCAATGTCTTTAGTTCATCTGCTATAGCAATTGCCTGTTACTGATAGAAAAGGAAGAGTTACATTCAAGTAAAGAAACATCTAAGGGCATTTTCAAGAGTATAATCCAGAAAGTACTACCCGAGTCGAAAAATTTCTACTGTTTTAAGTCTAAAACAGATAGTTGCAAGTGTTTTGCTTCGAAATTAGCCTAACATTCCCTTTTCCTTCTCCAAGCTGATCAAGTAAAACCATTTCGAACATTCGCCCAGTCAAAATTGCTTTTATTAATATCAGGCGATGTGGCGAGTTCATTAGGACAAATTTAGACACTATTGAGAAGGCGTAAAACATGACATCTTTTAACACGGGTATTACTTTAAAGTCTACATTGGGAGCAATACATGCAGTTAAAGTAGTTAATTTAGTGTGCTGTGTTATTACATATATAAAAATAAGGTCAATGAATTTCTTTAATGCATAGCAATTTTCCCTGAATGAGATAAGAAATCTTCTGGGAAATCAGTGAGAAAAAAATGCCTTGCCTTTTTCTTTA